TTGGGCTCGAATCAGCAAGGCTGGAACTTTCAGGCAACTCTAGGTTGCTTTCTTCAGCTTCTTTCAGATGAATGTTGCAGGGTGTTTATCCACCTGGGGCCCTTTGTAGTGTTGCTGCCCTTATATCTGCTGAGGCACTGGGAGACCCGTTTTTCTATAGAATGCCGAGGCACCAGGATCGCCTCCTGGTGTGCTAAAGTGGGGCTTTCCACTAGCTGGTTGGGGTGCCTCCCATTATGTACTGCTTCCCTTCCCCCAGGGCCTTTCCCATTAATCCCTCAAGCTACCTGGGCTACTGCACTGCTGCTCCCAGCCTTTCTTCTGGTTCAGCTGTTCCAGGGTTTTTCCTGGGACAATATTTTCTGGGCTTTCAGAGGTTGATAGAGGAGGGTGAGAGCAACTACCTTTTTACTCTGCCATCTTGGCTCCCAGAAGCAGAACTCCCAAACACAAAGTTAATGAAAAGGTGCAACCCTTGATTTTAAGTGCATAAATTGGCATTCTAGACACATTAATCCCTTTAGAGTTTGGTTGGCTGCATCAGTCCTCCAGAACCTGATGTCCCTTCTAGCTCTAAATCCTATAAACCTATAAGTCCCTTTCCCTGACCAATTTTGAGATAAGAAAATTGAAGCTGATAATTGTACTTAGCATTCTAATGGCTAAATATGACTGAGAAAAACAATTTATATGTAATGGAATGATTAATTGTAAAACAGTTTTCTGCACTGAATATCATCTAATATGTAATTATAAGGCATCATCTTTTCAAACGGCACTTTCTTAGCATCCTTTCAAACTCAAGTAGATTGAGTGCTTCCACAGGAAATGAGTATCCTTTGTTACAAACATTTGGGGAAAGCTAAACACAAGCTATCTCTAAGCTATGTTTGGAGATTTCCTAGTGTAAACTTCAAAAGAATGCATAGAGAGGATGACCTTCGTGGGGTAGCCTTCAAGATCTGATTCTGTTTACTTGAACTAAGGGCCTTGAGCACTGGATCATGATTTACATATATTTTATATTTCTTATCTGGGACATGTTTTTTCACCCTACTAGAATATAAGTTCCTTGAGGTCAAGGACTATTTAGTTTTTGTCTTTCTATTTAGTTTTTATCTCTTGGTGTCTGTATTGAATGAATGAATGAATGAAATCTGCTTATTCTAACATTTATTTGCCTGACTACAATAGGATAATTCTACTTTTAATGTTAGCTAACTTCTACTCATTGTTTCCAGTTCTGCCTTTGGGGCTAAGAAGAGCAAGCTATGATATAGTGGAATGGGCACTAGGTTTGGAGTCATAGGACCTAGGTTCAAATCCCAATTGATACTTTGACAGTGTCATTTGACATTGACACTGTCATTTGACAGTGAATTTGGGCAAGTCACTTATACTTACAGAGCCTTAGTTTCCTCACCTGTAAAAGGAGGGGGTTGAATGAGAATGCCTCTAAGATCCTTTCTGGCTCTAAATCTATTATTCTAATGTTACTACTTCAGAATATAAGTATATATTGTTATATATTATATATCAAAATATTTACATATATATTCTAAGTTATTGGCTTTTTTTTTTTCATCCCTCATCCTTCTGGATCTCTCCCAGGCCATCTCCCTTGTACTAGCCACATGTGACTAGTCAAACCCCAATCTTCTTCTTTTCCCCATCTTAACTCCTTGGTGAACCAATTTAACTTTATACTGCCCTCCTCTCTTGAACCCCTAGTTCCCTTATTACATTGACAATCATTCCCAGTCAAGCCCCAGCCTCAGATCATTCCCACCATTTGTTGGCTTTATACCTACACATGTGCTGCTGAATGAAGGTAGAGAAAATCATGCAATCATTCTGACTGGGTCCACTACAAATTTATGTTAGATAACCTCAAATGGGCCCTCGTTGCTGCTCAGCAATTATATCATACCTCCCTTTATCAACCTGCTTTTCACAGCAGCTCTTCATCCCTTAACCGCTCTTTTCAACCTTTTCATCCCTCTTCAAAACTCCCATGGCTTCCCCCTACTCTCTCAGCTGAGAACCTTCCCTCATATTTTACCAAAAAAATTGAAGCCATTCATGTTGAGTTCCCTTTTCTCCCCTCTTTCTCATCTTCTATCACTCAGGTGCCTTTTGCCATTTTTTCCTCCTTCATCTGTTTCACATGATTAAGTGGCCTTACTCATTACCAAGGCTAACCCCTCTATTTGTTCAAGCAATTTCATTTCATCCCATCTCTTCCAACAGACTGCCTTTTCTGTTATCCCTACTCTCAGTTTCAATCTCTCCCTCTCTACTGTCTCATTTCCTACTGCCTAGGAATATGCCAATATCTCCCTTATCCTGAAAAAAAAAAAAACCAAAACAAAACCAACAAAACCCTTACTTGATCCTTCCATCCCTACTATCATCCTATTTCTCTTCTGCCCTTTGTAGCTAAATTCCTAGAAAAGGTTGTTCACAATAGGTTCCTCCACTTTTTCTCTTGCTTCTTAACCTCTTACAATCTAGCTTCTGACCTTACCATTTCACTAAAATTGATCTCTTCAAAGTTACTAATTATCTCTTAGTTACCAAATTCCATGGCTTTTTCTCAATCCTCATTCTCCCTGACTTCTCTATAGCCACTGCCACTATTGATCACTCTCTCCTCCTTTATACTCTCTTCTTTCTAGGTTTTTGGGACACAACTTTCTCCTGGTTTTCCTCTTACCTATCTGACCTCTCCTTCTCTTTCTCCTTTTCTGAATCCTCCTGTAGATTATGCCCTCTAACCACAGGTGTCCCTCAGGGTTCTATACTGGGTCCTCTTCTCCCTCTTTATGACTTCACTTGGTAATCTCATCAGTTTCCATAGATTTAATTACCATCTTTAAGCCGTTTCTTAAACCTACCTTTCCTGCCTCTATTTCTCTGCTCACCTCCAATCTTGTATCTCCAACTGCATTTCAGACATCTTAAACTGGATATCTAGTAGACAACTTAAACTTAATATGTCCAAACCAGAATTCATTATCTTTCCTCTTAAACTTTCTCCACCCTCCCCCTCCCTTTCTCTATTACTGTAAAGGGCAACAGCATCCTCCTAGTCACTCAAGCTCTCAACCTAATAGTCATCCTGGACTCTTCACTATCCCTCACACCCCTCTCTACCATCCAAGCTGTTGATTTCACCTTTATAATACCTCTTTCTCTCCTCTGACACTGCCACCATTCTAGTGCAGGCCCTTATTACCTCACACCTGTATCACTGTAATAGATTGCTGGGGTGTCTGGTTGCTTCAAGTCTGCTCCTACTGTCTGTTCCAATCCATCCTCCATTTAGCTATTAAGTTATTTTCCTAAAACGCAGATTTGATCCTGTTTCTCCACCTCTCCCACCTCCTCCCCCAAACTCCAGTGCCTTCTTTTGCTTTCAGTAGCAAATACAAAATGCTCTGTTTGGCATTCCCCTCCTACATTACCAGTCTTCTTATACCTTACTTCCTGAAACATACTCTTTCATCCAGGAACATTGGCCTCTTGGCTATTTGTTCTATGAACAAGACACTTCATTTCTCAGTTCAGCATTTTCTCTGGCTGTCCCCGATGCTTGGACTTTTATTCCTTCTCCAATTTAACTACTGACTTCCCCAGCTTCTTTTAAGTCCCAACTGAAGTCCTACCTTCTCTAACATCTCTTAATTTCAGTGCCTTCCCTCTCTTATTTTCTATTTATTCAGTACATACTTGTTTTGTATACATTTGTTTGCATGTGGTCTACCCCATTAGATTCTAAGCTCCTTGAGAGCAGAGACTGTCTTTTGTATCTTTTTGTATCCTTTTGTATCCCTTGTGTTTAGCACAGTGCTTGGCACATAGTAGGTGCTTAATAAATATTTTATTGAATTGAATCTAGGTTCAAATCCTGTATGAGACACTTATTAGTTGTGTGAACCTGAGCAAGCCACTTAACCTGTCTGCCTCAGTTTATTCATGTGTAAGATTGGGATAAAAATAGCACTCAACTTGCAGGGTTAGTGTGAGGACAAAATGAGATTATATTTGTAAAGTGCTTTACAAACCTTAATAACTACATAAATGCTAGCTATTATTATTGTTATTATTATTTTTAATCTTGCATGTATCTTGCTTGTATATATTCTGTGAACTTCCTGAGAACAGGGATTATCTTTTGTTTTTCTTTGTATTCTTCAAGCTTAGCACAGTGTCTAGCATATAGTAGGTGTTTAGTAAATGCTTGTTGACTAACTGGTGAATGAATATGATTCTATTAAGTCAAATATCTCTTCTGCATGAAAGTTATTCAAGTTTTTTTTAAAGATAGTTATCTTGTTCCTTCTCAGATTTTTTTTTTCCCATAGGATAAAAACACCAGTTTCTTTCACTTATCTTTATATGGCATGGTCTCCAGTCAACTCTCTATCCTAGTTACCTTTCTCTGGATACCTACCACCCCTGCTCCATTCCAGAGCCCATTTTGGGGTGTGTGGGGGGGGTAGGTATTCCTTATTCTATGCAGAAGTGAGCCCAGTTCCCTGTATAATATTATGCAAGGACACTAGGGTTAATACAATTAATGTATCATGCCTGGCTCCACAGATCAGATTTTACACAAGAACAGATTCTATGAAACAAGGGCCAGCTGAGATAAGAACAAATAAATCTACAGTATCCTCAGTTCTGTGAAGTGGCTAACGACTTAGAATAGGGCAGCTACCAGGAAAGTAGTTTAATGCCCAGGCTTAAATGCCCAGGCTCTTTTAAGAGCTACTTTTCTAAATCTGCTTTTCTCAGAATCTCCATCCTAGATTCTGTCTTCACTTTTTGAAGAAGAAGGGTACTCCTCCACCTTCACATTCCAAAGATCATTGCATCAATGATATTCAATGTATTCCAAAGACCAAATGGGTGCCTATATGTGTCATATGTCTTCTCTTCTGACCCTTTGACCTTCTTCCCACTATTCCACCCATCTTGCTATGGAAATGACTTACCGGAGAGGATCTGGAAGATTCCAGTGATATAAAATCGTCCACCCTTGGTGAGAGTAAAAAGCTGGCAGAAGAAGAGGAACAAGGAAATGACGCTGAATATAATGGCAAGGATCATGGTGGCTTGAACAGATTGCAGCCATTCTGGAGGGAAAGAAAGGGTAGAAACAATTAGGAAAACAGGTCATACTTTGGCTTTCTGGCTGACAAAGGACCAAAAAGAACTAGCAGGGTAGTCACAAACACTGGCACAAACAGCTCAATAAACATGTTGTCTTAGAAAAATCTGTGGTAAGAAATCTTATTGCCAACAGGAAACCAACAGCAGGACCTGATGAGGTTACAAATAAAGTTCTCCAGAAAAACTAGCTTAGCCCTGTAACCACTGTAACTTTTTATATTTTAGCCATTTTTAAGAGAAATAATTCTAAAATATATTACATACTCTCTTGTCTTAATGAACAGAGCATACGAAATATAATTTAATTTTCTAGCACACTCTTCCTTATTGTGAACATATCACTCCTGCCTACTTCTAAATCTCCTATTCCCTCTTAGCCTCTTTGGTCATTTAATCAATCAATTAACAAGCACTTATTAAGTGCTTACCATTTGCCAGAATATAGTAAACATATAGTTGAGTTCTGGGAATACAAATTAAAAAAGGAAAAAAAAAACCAGTCCCTACCATTAAGGAGTCTCCAGTCTAATGGGGGGAGACAAAATATACAAATCATACATAAAAATACATACATGCAGGATAAATACAGACTAGATGGAAAGTAACCTTAGAGAAAAGCAGCAAAGGATTCTTAGAAGAGATGGATATTAAAGGAGGCCAGGGATTCTAAGACTTAGAGGTTGGAAGGGAGAGCATTTCAGAAAAAGAGAACAGCCAGTGCAAAGGCACAGATATGGGGTGCTGTGTACAAGGAATAGCAAGTAGGCCAGCATGACTGGATCAGAGTATATGTAGGAGGTTAGAATATGAGATGTTTAAAAGGGGCCAAAGAGCTTTGAAGGCCAAAGGTCTTCATATTTAATCCTGGAAGTAATAGGGTGTGACTGGGTTTACTGAGTAGAGTGTGATTCATACCTTTTGGCAATTGGATTGGACTGGGGAGAGACAAACAGGCTGGCCATTTAAAAGGCTATTATAAAGAGGGTGGTGGCTATGTGAATAGATAGAAGGGGACATTTAGAAGAGATGCTGTAGAGAAATAGATTAGAAGATTTGGCAACTAATTGGATATATAGGGTGCGTGATAGGAATTGAAGAAGGTAGACCTCACACTGACCTTGTGAACTTCGGTGACTGGATGACCTAGTGATTGGTTGATTCATTTTATAAGTAAGTTGGTGCATCTGAGTAATAGGCAAGTTCAGAAGGGGGAAAGGATTGGAAAAGATAAAAAGTTCTGTTTTGGTTAGGTTGAATTTAAGACTCCAACGGGACATGCAGTTGGTGATGTGGGATTGGAGCTCAGAGAGAAAAGAAGGTTGGAATCTAGGAATCATTTGCATAGATATGATAATTGAGCCTATGAGATTACTAAGAAAAAATATAGAGAAAAGAGGTCTAGGACAGAACCTTGGGTTACACTCACTATTTGTGGGAGTGACATTGATCAGATTCAGTAAAAGAGACTGAGAAGAAACAAGGTAAGAAACTAAGACAGAGAAGAAGCTTCTAGCACATGGTCTCAATTATTCAGGTAAAGGATGAGGTGAGGTAGATGACGCATGGAGTGGCATGGAAAGCTTGAAAAGAGAAGAAAAAGTTTGTTAGAGAATGTAATAAGGAATCTCTTAGGGAGAAGTAGTAGGATTATTTTGCCCAGTTGAAATTAGCTAACATAAATTTTAATGGACCTAGTCAGCACAGTTTCATGATTCCCTCCAGTACCATTCAGTAGCTTATAAGTACGAGTGAGGGAGGAGAATAATAGAAGTAATCCAGGATTGGGGTTTGACTAGTCACATGTGGTGACAGGACAAAGAATTAAGGGAGTCAAGATTAGAGGATATTGTAGAATTGAACTAGTGCACCAAGGAGTCAAGACTGAGAATGAAAGAGAGCATAATCAGTGCTTTGGATAGTATTGAGAGATGGAAGGATTACACAGTAAGGATAAAGAATATGTTTAGGGGAAAGGAAGCATAGGGAGAATTAGAAAGATAAAATTATGATCAGATAAGGAAAATTTAGAGTTCTTGAACATGGAAGTGGAACACTTATGGGTCATGGCAACATCATTGGTATGATCATTCCTACCCTTAGATGAGGAAGAATGGATGAACAGGTCATAAGAGTTGACAAGAATGGTGAACTGGGAAGTTAGGATATTTGAGAGAATACTATTATGTATGTTGTTTCACAGAATGAGAAAAGGATTTGGGGTGGGGAGGAAGACTATAAACTAGAACTTTTTGGGAAAAGAGGGAGAATATTCTGAGAGTTGATAAATAACAGCTATCAGAATCTAGGCAGTGTGCTAAATTTGGACTGAAAGAAACTCAGTAGAAGAGATTGCTGAGTGATGTGGTAGTAGAAGAGACTAGAAGTGGAAATGAGAAGCAAAGGGAATTGAACTCCCTCAACAAAGAGAACAGATATAAATGACAGTGCAGTCAGTATCATCAGGAGGGAGACATATTTCAGTGAGTGCCAGAAGACAGGAGTGAGAAAGGCTTAAGATCAAAGAAAATTTATGGAGCAGTCATTCCAGAATGCAAAATAGAAGAAATGGGCATATACCAAACAGAACACACTGGGTGAAGGGGAATGAAAATGAGGGAAAGAACAGCTGAAGTTTGTTCTATGACAGTCAGGGATTATATATAATTAGTTGCCTTATGTCTTTCTCTTTTTTTATGGTTTTCTTAAACTTTTATTTAAACTCTTTATCTTATTTAACTTTTCAAGTGCTTATTTCTTATCTGCCCAATTAAACAGTAAACTCTTTGAGGTCTGGGATCAAGTCTCAATTGAATCTAATAACAGTTTTTTATTTGTTTTGTTCATTCTGTATGCCTGCAATGTCTTCCCCTTCCTCTATTTGTCGACTTCCTACCGATCTCTAAGGTCTAACTCAAATGCTACCTTGCACAAAAGGGCATTTCCTGATTTTTTCCAGCTAGTAATGAATTCCTCCTAACAAAATACTTTGTTTATATATCTCTAGTATTCACTTATCATGTAAAGTTATATATTATAGTTATATAATGCATACCCAGCATCATACTGCCCTCTTAGTCTGTAAGTTTGACAAGAGTAGGGACCATTGCCTTATTTAAATTTTATCTCCCCCAGAGACTAGCACAAGCACCTTCACACGATATATGCTCTATAAATGTTTGTTAAATTTCAATGATTTCTATCCTCAACCTAACATAGAGTTTTGTATATGATGCTCAATAAATATTTATCGATTTGATCATGCAATCCTAAAACGGGTACAGATGACAAAGAAATCCAACACCAACTCCTGAAATGCTTTCAGAAGTCATAAAAATTAAAAGTTAAAATTTAATATGTAACTCATTAAAAGAAAATCCTAGCAGGCAGAGTGCCTAGCTTGGTGTCTTACATAGTTATTTAATAACTGTTTGTTGAATTAAAATGAGACACTTTCCTGAAAAGAACAGGGAGAGATTACCATGACCTATCTCTTAAATTTATCCTCATAAGACATGCATTCCGCTTTTAGCTTTTGGAAAGATCTCAGATGAGGAAACTCAGATGAGGTCCAAAGAGATAAAATGACCTACCTAGTGTCACATAGAAAGGAAGGAGCAGAGCCAAGATTTGACCCCAGGTCTTCTGACTCCAATAAATGACTCTACATCGGGATAACGGACAGCAAGGGAATTACCTGTGGGTGCTCTGCCCAAAAGGAATATAAATTTTGATTGCTGAAACCTCGAAGGATATCTTGGGGTCTAGGGGCTAGATTTCTTTTAAGGAACATGCCTTAAGCCCAAATCACTCTGGTTCTCATTGGTTGGCCAAGAATAGGTCCTGTCCAAGTTTCACTTGGTCATTGTTTGGGCTCTGATGGCTCAGAGTGAGTGTAAATAGCAATTGTTTCTGTTTTGTCCAGAAACCCTGAGGGTCTTCCTCTCCCAGATTGATTTTTGATAAAATAATAAAATTGATAAAAGAGGACATTCTTTGCCTCATTTCTTACCCAGCCTTAATCACTGAATAGACATTGTCTCAGACAAACTGAGACCTGGGAAAGACCTTAGCTCAAAAAGGCCAAGGCCTCCCACTGCATTCAGGGTCATTTCCAGTTGTTCTGATCTATATCTTGCCACTGGACCCAAATGGCTTACAGAGGAGAGAGTGAGGCTGGTGACTTTGCACAGCCATCCCTCACTTCAATCTAGTTCATTTGTGAGTCATGGCATCACCTTCCTGATGTCATGGTTCTCTTCCAGAACAAAGGAAAAACAGTAAACAAAACAGGCAAACATCTTTTATATCTATTATGTTTAATTTATATATGTTTAAATTTGTAAATAATTAGTTTGGTTGCCTTAATTTGTTAAAAGCTAAAGGGGAAGGAAAGAGACACATCCAGTTTCTTCTTAAGGGAGGGGAAAACAATATAAACAGCAGCATTCCAAGTCCCTATGGTTGGGGAGAGCTACTCCATTAGTCACTTGGTTGGTCCTAAAGTGGTGATAGGAAAAGGTGCAGGGAAAGCAACTAACTCTAGAAAACTAGAAACTAAAGAAAATTTGCTAGAATTTTCTCTAATAGAAAACAATTTAAGAGTTATTGTAAATAAAAAAATTTTTTAATTGTTTAGTTTCTGAATGAGACTTAAAATGTTTAGGTAGAATGTGACTTCAGTTTAGCTGTACTTGACTTCTTCAACTAAATGAAGAAGGTTTGCCAATTAATGCAATAAATAGTATATCTTTTTAACTTATTATGGAAAGTGTTTTTATGTCACAACCTCTTTCCCTTCAGAATTGAGTTGTACTGTACCTCTTCTTTCCCCTCCCCCACTGGTGCTTTAAGGCAGTGAAAAAAACAAAACAAAACCCTGAGAAGAGTGAAAAAGAAGGGAAAGCAATTAGCCTTTTCCAGTTCATTGAATGACTATGTCTTAGGGTCACAGAATTTAGAGCTA